TTTTTTTTTTTCGACTACATCACACTTTCCCTCAATAACCACAAATTTAAACGGATCAATGCTTAAAACTTGAAAAATTTCAGACGAAAAAAAAAGTAAATGAGGTGTTTAAAAATAAAGAACTGTCTAGCATGAGATGAATTAATCGACGAATTTGGGTGACAGGTTGAATCGCATTTGCTTCAAAAATTTCAGAACCTGAGTATTAACCATCCGCTAAACTATGTTCATAACGATTTAAGTAATGTACAGCAACAACAGGAGTCGTCAGTACAGCGAACAGTATGTGAAAGAAAACGCTACAAGAGCATCATAAAATTAGAACGCACCATAAAGAATCACCCAACAGGTAACGCACACACCAAGCGAGTTTCGTTCTTCTCACAAAAAAAAAAAAAAACTCACCACACTTATACCGATGGACGGTGCCACCACTAAATTAGTACTCAAAGAGTAGTTGGTAACTGCAGAATAGAGACGAAATGACAACAAAATTTACACTAATTCTCTACGGAGTCCCAAAAAAGCCTTCAAAAACTGCCTTTCCCAAACGACTTCAACTAGTCTGTTTTTTTTGCAACCAGCCAGCGTCCGAAGATATGCATTATATGAATAAATAAAAATGGGAAACTACGAGAAACTGAAAAATATGTCGCTTTCTAAGAGTCGGTAATTTCGTCTAGATTGTGCTCTGTAAATTATTGATTGGTAATATATGTTCGCGATTTAAAAGAGTGCAATATCAGTGGCGTTTGTGGTGTAATGGTCAGCATGGTTGCCTTCCAAGCAATCGACGGGGGTTCGATTCCCCCCAAACGCATTACTGTTTTCTCCGAACAGCAATTGCTCACTTTTTCCAGCCACACGAACAAGTACAGCAATTTTGTTTCTTAAATGCTTCTGCGTCCGGTTACATCTGAACTTTACTCAGTCTAAACTTCTGCTGATTACTGTCGTTTACAAATTGGAGATGTTGATGATTCCTGCAGTTACTTTCTAGCGAAATGTTATTAAATTTGTCCAAATTCATTTTTGACTGATCTAAAACATGATCAAATAAATGAACTTTGTCTGTCTTCTAATAACAACAAATTATTTCCCTATATTCTGACAAAAGATTTTTAAAATTTTAAAAGACTGTTAGTTATTTGTTAGTTAAGCAGTTTTACAAAATACTAAACTTTTTAAAACAGTAAAACGTTTACCAAAAGTCTCTTTCAACTATCTTTTTAGCTTCATTAAACCTTTTTTTTTT